CCACTATATAAAAATGGTAAGAGTTGCCCGGGTCAAGAAATATTGAGATATTTAACAAAAGGCCAGTCAGGCCAGTAAGGTCAGTCAAGCCAGTCAAGCCAGTCAAGCCAGTCAGGTCAGTCAAACCACTCAAGGGCCCGGGCCATTCACAGCCCTAGCATCAATGCACTAGAGTCTTGACACCGTAGCAACCTGCAGGCTTGTGCAGCCCTAGGCTCTATAGGGATCCAGACTTCCGGGGTATACCCATGATACAGGTTCAGTATCCATTTCTATATCAACTGCCATGTATTGAGTCATGGGTATTCCTTTCCCATAATGAGAGTTCTTCCATACCCTATATAGATGACTTCCAAGGTACCCCAATGAGATACCTCAGGTGAAGATAATTGGATCAGTTTCCCCCCCCCCAGGGGGTTAGAGGCCCGTGTTCCATGGTTGAGCTTCAGCGGATAATGCAAGCGGGTCTTGGCTGATCCTTTTCTTAAAGTTCGTCAACTACTACGGTTCACGGCTCACGGTTTGTTTCCTATTGAGACATGGCGTTGAGAGGTCTCTGTTTTTAGGGGTCTATAGCTTAGTACAAAGCCACAATGTCATTCTTATATATGATTTTCAAAGCACTTTCAGGGGCGACATGATAGGGAACTGCCGAGGTCTGGGGAGGCTGTAATCCCTCGTGGGAATCTCTTTTTAGATTGCGGAGTCTGCTCAACGGCTTTTTTTCTTTCTTTTTTTCTTTTCCCATGAATGTCCATATTCTCTAAGGTTCTTTTCTCCTATTGCGTATAGTTATCTTTCTGTGCATGACATACTTTGTACTAAATACATGGAATTTTGAGTCAGGAGTCACCAAGTGGAGTGGCTTGTCCCGGGGAGATGATCGATACTACAGTTGGACAATGTGGAGCACCGTGTGCTGAAAGAAAGCATCGCTTAAGTCCACAGTTGTATCAATTTCCACGGTATCGATTTTATAAAATAAAATAAAAATAAAAAGTAATCTGATTACATTCATAGGTAAATCCCACAGTTCGTTCCAGTGTCAGTATTCCCTTAGTTCCGATGATCTCTGAATAATACAGAGTACTATATCTCTAACTAGCTACTTAAGTACTATCTGCGGACAAGCAATATAAGTCTAATATACTAACTCTATCCAGAGTATCTTATATTGTAAATACATCCATGGATAGTGTCTATTTAAATGCCCTGAACACAGCCGATACCCGCGTTACGTGACACAGGGGGGCTCCCCTGCACCGATAGCCCTTTTGGACTGGTCGCATCCCAAGATTTGGGCAAGTTTATTCAAACCATCTCCCTGCGCGCATGAGTACTTGCATATACTCAATGCAGTCAACAGTACAATTCAATGTTGGAGAGAATAGGCGGTGGAGTAAATGAACAAATTGTACTCCGTACTCCGTAGCCTGAAATCCATATCTTCACACACCCCAAACAAAAAGATAATTACACATGTACGGAGTAATTATAGATAAGACCGTGAGTGAAACTAAAATAGAACCTTGGAAGTCTGTGTGAGACCTACATAAGTACATACGGAGTGGGTAGATTGCAGATGTTCTTTGAGATTGGGCAACCCATTGATCAGCCAGAGTCTAGACTCTTTCTATAACTCCATAATATTGAATCTGGACTCTGAGAGACCTCCAGCTTTTACATGTACACCTACCCGAAATATCATTTCTATATGTGACTTCCCGTAGAATACGTGGCCTTGGGCTGAGGACGAATTCCCGTTCTAATTTAATTTATTTTCTTTCGTGTAAGCCCTATGGGGAAGTAGCAAATGCCCGAAGTCTGCAAATATCCAGAGCTTCCTTGCCGAGAGGCAACTGCCGTGTGACCAAGAAAATTAAGCGTCGGCTGCATGGCAAGGCTGGTTTCCGCTCCGTACTAGTGGCGTCAAAGAGTAAGGCCAATGCACCAGACTCTATTCCAGAGCCTCAGGCAGGCCTCAGGCCTATATAGATTGTGTGGGTATAATTAGGGCCCAATATATTACACTGTACGGAGTACACCTCCCAATTTAGGACGCTGCTACCAATGCCAATAGTAATATTGTGTAAGGGCCATTGGGAATGTGTACAAACCGCCCTTGCGGCATCCTCCATGCAACCTGGCGGCTGGATGCAATAAAACAAATCGGCGTCCATACCGTGATACCGTAGCGGAAACGATCCGGTGGGTTGGTTGCACACCGCGTTTCAGGTGCGTTTCCGGCTCATCAGGTTTCCCGTTGTCAGGAACCCCTTGTCCCCCATAGCGCCGCGCCATTCTATCGACAACTGACCCAGCGTGGCACGACCGTCCCGTCGCAGGTCCTTCTGGAGAGTCTCAAGTCCCTCGCTCTGTCCCTCTTCTTGTTCCACCAAAAATGCTACCTGTAGGACATCCCGTGGATTAAGTGTAGGTAGTGCTGCGGGTGACATGTCCGGGTTCATCATGTCCCAATTTAGCGATTTTGATTGGAACGGTGGCTTGGGATTTAGTTTTGTTTGCTATCCATCCCTCGACGTTAGCCAAATGGTTGAGAATTTCCGGCCCAGCCCGACTTTCAGGTACAGCCGCGCTATGCCGTGGAAAATCCACTCATTTGCTAGGGTTTAATAGGAAATTCATACCTTGACTACCACGGCGCCCTCGCCCACGTTTTCCAGTTGCGCCTCCAGGGCAAACCGGAGTAACCTCGTTTTCCCATATGGACCGAGGGACTTATTATCTACCTCAAGCGGCGGAAGTTCGGACGCCTTGGTCCGAACGCTCAAACAGGGCTGTGCCACAAACTGATATAACTTTCGGAAGGTCCTGACCCGGCCACTAGCTGCCTGCGAGTCGGACCCGATCTTTGTCTCTGTATAGCTGACACTGACAGCTAGTATATGATTACCTTCTTCCTTCAAATCAAACCGGACAATCTTTTGTAATGACTCGCCGATCTTGAGCCCGTCTGTTGATGCAGAGTCGTTGGGTGGTTCCAGCTCCAGTGCCGCGACCGACGAAGGTGTTTGCATTTCTGCTACTATTCGCACCGACGTGAGGACTTTCTCGTTGTCATCATCATGGATCTCATTGTTCGCGCTTAGTGTGCATCCGAAGGTTTCTCCGACGTAGACGGATCCGAAGGAGGGAGGTAGAGTAAGCTGTTGCCGTTAGTGAACAGCTTCTTCGAGATGCTTGGTCATCTTCTCACAAGAGGCGTTAAAATGAATTGATCATCAGAGTCACCAGACGGATAGCTTAGTGAGGCTTTTGAGGAGATTATGGTGTTAGAGGTCGGGAGGGGATGCTGATAAGAAAGTGACGGCCGCGCAAGGCTGTGTATTGAGAGTCAGGAGCTGCCATCACCGCGGCGGATATTGAAAATTGGAATTACCGCAACACTAATCAACACATAATTAGCTTGCTGGTCCAACCACGAGTTGTATTCACATACCTTTGAGAGAGACCGAATGTGGTTCCTTCGGAGCATCAGCGCCCGATAGAGCCCGTGGGCGTGACATGGAGAATAGGTTCGGGTATCAGCTCTAGGGAGGAAACGTGAAAAATGAAGCAAAGAGTTAGCTGTAATCCGGGGCTTTGCAGTCTAGCGTCATCTCGTCAATGAGGAGGGACAGTCCACAGTTCTCCACGAGCTGATAGCGATAGGGAAGCTACTCCAAACAAACAGTGCAAACACCCGCTCTTTCCTAAAGAGTACACGACCTATGTCGTAGGGCTTTACAGGTTCGAGATTCTTCATCTTTTCTTACTGTCTGACCTCACATAGATACCGCTAAAAACATAAAATCTTTATATATCCGCATACATATTTACGTAAAGCATTTAATTGACATCATATCGTCCTGAGAACTTGGGCATCTACTAGCTAATGGGGAAGGAGCTTCCAAGAATTCTTCAGCGCTAAGTACATACATACATGTCCATGATATGAATTTATTGCACTCTATAAGCTCTTAGTTTCTTTGTTTAACTTTGCTCATAAAGGCCACTGTGGTAAAGGTCAATCCACAACAATGGCAATCCTGAAGTGAAAGGGGAACAAACATAGCCAACCTGCTGATAACAAAGACCATTCATACCTGTGTGGAACTTCATGCAATGTCATATGACACTCCATTTCCTTGAACCTGTCTTTAGATCTTGCTTGACGCAATACGTACATGTTGCAGCGCATCCTTTGTCCACGGTTCACTTTCCTTCTTGTAGATTCTATCTTTCCATACTCTTGTGAAGTACCCGTGTCCCAGAGTTCCTGTCAATCTAGCAGATATAAACCCTTCCCACCCTCCCGCGGTGCCATCAAACCTTGATATCTCTAACCCAAAAGTCCACCTCACTGCCGAGCCTACTAGTCCTAGTAACAAGCCTAGGGCCGAGAACTCAATCCAAGTTGCAGAGCACACTCCGCCCAGTGCCTCCCACCATGTCTGAGAGACGCGCACTTCCATGGCTAGACTCACCTCCTGATGGATTCGCAGAAAGATTCGCACGCATCGAAAGTCAAATGCAAGTAAATATTGACAAACATGGCATACTTTGACTGGCTAATCAGCGTTGATTTCAGCATGTATATGATTAGACACAGTATCGGCGGAACCGCGAATGCTCCGAAAATGGCATTTGAAGTTGTTGGATCTACTGGCAATATCTACAGAACGACCATTGGCAAAGTGGCTACCTGTGACTGTCCGGACGTCAGATTCCGGAAGGTACAGTGTAAGCACATCTGCTTTGGTAAGTCTCAACCCTGCTCAGCAGATACATACATGTACCTACTCTATTCTGTGCAGCCTAACTACCACTCTCTATACTTTGCTAATATTCTGTTAAGTTCTATCTGCAATGGATGTCACTGGGGAATTGAGGTACCAGCGGGCATTCTTGCCATCCGTGAGTCCTTGCAAACCCCAATCAAGCATCACTCCGTGTATATATCTCTAACCCAATTGCGTGATGCTCAGGAGCTACGTGAGATGCTCGCTGCATTCTCCTTGAAACGAATCCTGGACACAACTACCCTTGCTTCTACCGGGGAGAGGAAGCCTATCGAGGGCGGATGCCCGATTTGTTTCCATGATTTCGAGACTAACAAGAAAACTACGTGGTGTCAGTCATGCGGCAGCAATTTTCATGAGGCTTGCTTCAAGAAGTGGGAGCGCACTCTGAATGCTTACCACGATGTTGTCCATTGTCTCTACTGGTAAGTGATGACAATTTGTCTAAGTCTTACTGAAAACTTGAAACTCAACAGCTCTCCACATATAGCAAAACCCTGTGGAAGGGCGATGAACATGGAACGCCCCGTCTCACTGAAAAAGCCGTTCGAACCAAGGGATGTCAAACCCCAGAGAAATATTTGAACGTGGGCGACGAATAGTCACTGGATGCCGTGGCTCAATCAGTATGTATTTGCGCCTAGAGTTCATCCACATCTTGACATCCGACTCCTCGGAGAGACTTCTGCTAACAATAAGCTTCTTGGACTGAAAGGGGCTACCTGTCTTCATACACACCTCTATGGGCATGTAAGATCCATGAACGGTTCTGAAGTGGATTTATCTCTTGTCGTGGTGTCTTCTTGTCAATTGGCCTATTACTTCGGTTTGTGTTTGAGAAATGGGATTGGGAATGATTTGTTTTGAGAAATCTATCATTGAGTGACGCTCACTCTTGGCCGGTGCAAGCCCAAGCATGGATTGCTCCATTACTAGGCCTGCAATAATGGGTGTCAACTTGTAGTGTTGTTTTATCGAAAAAATACTGGTGCCATGAATTCAGAAATGCAGTGTTCAGTACTAGAATGGGATCGAGTCTTTTCCGCCGCATACACCAAAATGAATCTAATATCTTTTCTACAATTTCCAACATCAAGTGTAGACTACTTTCACTTGCTATTACACTTGGTTGGGAGATCTTAAAATTTACTCTTACGGTGAAGCCGAATATGACAAAAAAGCAACAAAAATGAAGAATTCATCTGAAGTCCGGGTATCATATCAAGGCCCAATGGCCCAATAAACAAAAAAAACGCCACGCTTCTCAACTCCCCAAGCCCGAAGAACATAAAACCCAGATTCTTCTATATGTCCTTTTGAAGCCTTTGACCTTGTCGAACAGTCGCAACACTAACTCCTTCCTCGCCAGTCATCCACGACGGCATACGTTCAGGGTCAACGATGCCTAGCTCGGCAAGTTTGCGAATCCCGCCTATGACGTCGGTGCCAGAGAAAGTGAGTGACACGGCAGGTGGCGTAAACGTAGAATTGTCAACATCATCATCCTGTTCAACATTGGAGCCTGAGATATCGAGCAGTCGGATATCAAGACGGTCCAGCGGTGCCGGGGCGAGTGATGACCCCAAAGTTCCGAATCGGGAGTGGATAGCCAGACGGCGTTTCTTCGAATCTGGAGAGACGGGGTCTGTCTCAATACCGCTGGACCTCCGTTTGGTCGCTGAACCATTTGTGTTTTCTTTGCCTTCTATTGGGCCAGAATGACTCGCTTGGATATGCTCTTCTGGTGAGATTGTATTGGAAGGTCGAGGGTCCAATGGGCTTCCTTCAATAGCTGCGTCTGCAAAAATGCTGAAGACGCCATTTGATGCCATTGATCTTCCCGGACCGCGGAGGGCTAGGAGTGTAGGCAGATTCTTTGCTGCCAGGGATGTCGTCTGCAGAGAGAATCGTTCCTGTGGGCGGGATAAAGCTTTGGGAATGGAATCGCGTACCAGACGCTGAAGCGTTCGAGTATCAGTAGCGACTGAGCTTGTCGAGGGAGCAGTTTTTGATCCGGTGGATGCTGCTATGGAAGTGTAGACGTAAGGGCAACTATCCGGGAAAGCGACGTAGATGATTCGGGACGAGTCAGTGAAGATCTCGGCTGCCTGTCTAGGGGATTGATATGGCGAGTCGACGACAAATATGCGTAGGAATGTCAGTGGCAGTGTTGCCGAGTGGGCAAGGTGGTAGTGGGCCTTGACCAATGAGGAGATTTCTCGTTGGAGGCCTTGTACAAATGTTGCCGCTTGCATGCGCGGTACAGAACCAGACCAGTCAGCGGGTGGCAGTTCCTTGGAGTTCTTGCGCTTTGTATCAATGCGGCTGAGCTCGAGTGCGGTCCATCGAAGACTGGCGGGGTGGTCATCCATATAGCGGAGGTCTGCCATGGCCAGCTGGCGCAATGTGATTCCATGCCGCCAATCGCCCTCTAAGATTCGTTCAAGAACCTCGCGCTTTGCGCCCTTTCGGTCTTGTAGATCTTCATATACCTGGCGGACTTCCTCGATTGTCTCCCCAGCGGGGTAGGGGAGGGCTTCGTCACCGTCAGGGCCATTTTCTTCGTCGGTCTGTAGGTATGGTGGGAATGAAGTAATATTGCGATCGTCAAGCCATGTAAATACCAGGTCCAGTAGTGCTTGTCTGGATAGTTTCCCCAAAGTTTTTGTGAGAGACGGGGTCGATGAGGGAATGCGGAGGTTATTTGGGAGGCTGGCTGTTGTTGGTGCGCGAACTGTTTCAGGACGCGCCATGGCAGTGGTTGACAAGGTATTGACACAATGCTTGGGAATTTTCAAGGTTTTCTGGTATCACTGGTAGATGCATGCCTCTAGATCCCTATCTTGATTTGCTCCCATGTTTGTCTAAGTTGTTTGTGTCAAGATTCCAAGCTCGACCAACAACAAACATGCACGTGCCGATAAGCTGGTAGTTTCCAGGGTTGATATCTCTGCTTATGTCATCTGGTCGTTGATCCATCCATCCACGGACCGTTTTGTTGCCTACATACGCATGTGAAGGAGGGAGAATTGATCGGGATGATTCAGCAGAGAGGATGGGTAGGGCGGTAACTACCTCTACCGGACGGGAGATTCTTTCCCGTCAATTATATTTATAGTTTTACTCTTAGTCTGAAGGAATTGAAGACCAACTTCCCATTGTATCTTTCCTCCTATCCATCGGACGGATCAACAGTTCTGTGTAGTCCGAAGGACGTATCATCCTCTGGTAGTAACGAGAAGTCTCCCTGCACCACACCTACCAGAGAGTCTACGGGAGGAATCGACCACGGGGGGCGTGGGTCGGATTCCGGTCTGTCAGCATGCAAGGTTGGATAGAGCTTCTGGGCTCATGGCCTGTCGAGAGAGGTGCATTCAGTGGTTGTAGAATAGGTTCTAGACTATGAAATCTGACAACAACCGTATTACTAGTGATGATCCTAGCCTTGAATCTCGGTGGTTATCATATATTTATGATAAAGATTTACCATTCTAGACTACACCAATCACAGCTGGTGTTGTAACAAATTGATGATAATTATTTGAGACTACATGATAACCATCCAAGGCACTTTGGCGGAGTGGTTAACGCGATGCCCTGCTATGCATGTAAATGTAAGCTTAGGCATTTCCCTCGGGAGCGTGTGTTCGAATCACACAGGTGTCGATTTTTTTGCCTCTCTACATACACTCTCTACACAAGAAAACAAACTGTTTAAATCAACACCACTACATTACATTATATTGTAGATTACAAGAGAAGTCGGCCACGTTGCGGTATAGATGTCTTTTTATTTCGTCTTTTTAAATGTCGTTTAATATGTAGCGATAAAAAAAGGTTAGTTTGTGCAAGCGACTTTTCTATGTATAACCTGTGATATATATAACCTTTGATATATAAAAAGCGGGCCTGTGAATTACTCTATGATATCAGTTTTGCCGTTTCTGGAAGTGCCCCAATACAGCAGATCAGTGACCGGAAAAACGATAGTTCGTTTCTATTATATGCTAGAATCAAGCGACTTGGATTATGTCAACAATTATCTATTTGTTGTCGGTTTTTGTGTCGTCGCCTTTCGGGGAGGAGGGGGGCAATGAGGTGTGAAGCCATGTGCTATCCGCTCATGTAGTACACCTGTCAGATTTTATAGTCTCTCTGTAGCTCAGATTCTACAACTCTCTACTCAATCAAGCATCTCACGTTCACCATGCACTTTGACGTAGTCCTCACTTGACAACACCAACGCTTGCCCAACTCAATACTAAGCTCCGTATAATCCGTCCCCATTACCGACTCCAAGTTCCTCTATACTAGGTCACAAAATGGCAGAAGATGCGAATCCCACGTACAGCTATTCGTCGATTTTTGGAGTGCCCCTCATTCAACTCAACCTGGAAACTGTTGACTTGAATGACAACCCCGAGTTCATGGCACTGTCGTACACCTGGGGCTCTCCATGCCCATATTCTAGCCACGAGAACGATAACCATGAAAGATCAAATGATACTTGGCCGGTTTGTTGAATGGAGATCTCTTTTATCACCAGAAACCTGTATGACTTTCTACGTCGGTTTTACCCGATGCCATATGATATCGACAAACAAGAATACCCAATGCATCAGACAGGCCTAATTGTTGCCGCGATAGACAATCGAGAAATTAAGGTCTAAGACTACATATATCGAATGGCAGATGTGAATCGAATGATGATGAGGGAAAAATCCCACTGCACTATGCTACAACCAAGGGCTATTTGGGAATAATGCGACTACTCCTCGATGCTGGTGCAGACCCCTCCAAGGTTGGTCAGGGCGGAAACACTCCATTCAGACATGATGAATATGGACACCACAAGGGCATTATCGATATATTGAAGAATATACCGTCACTGTAGCCCCATCTAGAAGGTGACGAGCATGGCCGCTAAATAATCGTCGAATCTGGATTGATGCTATTTGCATTAACTAGGCTGATATTCCCGAATTCAATGCGCAGGTCACTACTGTTTCCAGCATTTACGGCCAGGAAATCCGCGTTGCCATATGGCTCGGAGCCCAAGGCCCATCCACAAAGATTCCTCATGATTGGCTGTACGAGATATCCAATAATCGCATCTTTGAGGCCCTCAACCAACGGTTGACTCAGATAAATCCTTGCCATGCGTTCGTTACACGCAAAGGCGGATCTTTCTGAAAAACGACATTAAAGCCTTCGCCATCCAACACTTCTTCAACCGGACTTGGTTTCAGCGGGTGTGGGTAATTCAAGAGTTGGTCCTGGCCAAGAATGTCAGATACTATGCGGGCCTTACAAGCTCGAGTACAGGAGTATTCGGTCTGTTTTGCATGGCACTTTCTACCTCGCAATCTGCTCAGCAGAGTAAATTTCCCACAAGTCTTATATTAGAGGATAGTCGGGCCTCAGCGCGC